GTACATTTTCTAAACTAGTCGGCACTCCTCTACACACTAATAATTTGCTCTATTTGGATGATGGAATCTTAGAGTTGGAAGTGTCTTTGGAGGACTGTCCTACAACTACACTAGAAACAACTTCCAGAACATCCCTGACCTTATCTTGGCCTGAGGGGCTGCATGACTGGCCTACGTATGCCCTGACAGTTTAAATCTTCATTACTCTTCACAAGCCCACCACCCTACTACCTCTGTCCCTAAATTTCATGTTTCTACTATTTTCCAAAGAAAGAAGGTAGGAAGGAAGGGAAGAGAGGAAGGAAGGAGGGAGGAAGGGAGGGAGGGAGGGAGGGAGGAAGGAAGGAAGGAAGGAAGGAAGGAAGGAGGGAGGGAGGAAGGAAGGAAGGAAGGAAGGAGGAAGGGAGGAAGGAAGGGAGGGACGGGCCCAAGGTTAAAACTTTATCCTCCCTTCCTGTTTCACTTATCTCTTGCTCATAGCAAATTATCTCAAAACTTAATGAGTTAAAACAATAATTTATATTGTTTCTCTAGATTTTTAGGACTGCATAGGTGGGAACTGCATGAGTGCTCATCTGGTACCTCACTTGGGGCTGGAGGGCCCAAGACGATTTAACTCACATGCCTGGCAGTCTGTGCTGTCAGCTGAAACATTGCTTCTCCTCCATGTTGCCTCTCCTCCTCCTCCATTAGGCTAAACTGGGCTTCTTCACAGTGTGTGGTCTTAGATTTCCAAAAAGAGTGAAGTGGCATCTGTAATACATTCTTTAAAATTATTGAAGTATGGTTGACATGTAATGTTACATTAGCTTCAGGTGTACAATGTATTGATTTCACAATTCTATACATTACTCATGCCTTTGGAGTCACAGTGTCTCTATTTCGACTGCCTTCTATTTATCAACTAAGTCCCAGTTCCAACAAGAGGCAAAACAGATTCTGCATTAATGAAGGGCAGTGAAGGACAATGTCACATTGCAAAAGTGAAAAAAATTCCAAGCAATCTACCACAGTTTCAAACCTCTGGATACTGGGCCACCCAGATCCCTGCCTAGGGAATCCGTGGCCTTTCCTCATTTCTAAGACAAATTTGTCCTTCTGGATCCACACTTTCTACCAGCTCAGGGGATCTCTTTTCTCTTCTGTAATATTGGCCTTTCTCTTGTTACCAGCTTTTTCTCAACATCATTTATCCATATCCAGATGCCTTCCATAATAAATTTAAATCCACCTCAAACCCTTAATGGTTTGCCTGAAAAAAAGAAACCCACACACATTGGCATGACCCATCTCCCTCATTTTTAGCAAAACTCTTGAAATGAAGTCTGCTCTACACTCCCATTCTTTATTTTCTTCCCTCTTTGGCTTTTGTGATACCACTGTTTTCTGATTGTCTGTCTCCTTCTCTGGACACTGCTACTAGTTTTCTTCCTTTGCTCATTAAAATCTTAAGTGCTATTTTTTTTTCCTTTAGCTCTCTTACTCTGTACTCTCTTAAGGCAATAGCATTTACTCTTAGCACCTGAACCATGCTCATAGAATGCTCACATATGTTCCATGTAGTTTCTGAGATGGTCCCCAGCAAGACTGAGCCCAGAAGCCTACAGAAGTAACACATTATCAGTTGCACTCTATTGGCCTTTCTTCCTTACCTCTATCATTTTCCCTATCAACACATTTGTTTGTGCTTTGAATTGACTCCCCTAACCTGCACCAACGTCCTTGTCGAGGGTCTGCTTTTGGGAGAACTCAAACTAAGACAGCTGATAGTCTAAGTATTTGTAGAATTGGTTCTCCTTTCCTCTCCACTTCCTAAATTCAGATCCTCCTTTCTCGTCTGGGTCGAGAAACCCCTACTTTCACTCTCTGAGTCTAATTTGCCCCTTTCCCAAAATGTATTCATGACACTGCAAGCAAACAAGCTGCATAAAGCAGTTGATCATATCACATCCCTCTTTAAAGCACTGGTGGTTCCCAACTCTCCCCTTCATATAATAAATCTAAAATTCTTAAACTAGACTATCAGAACATTCCTGATCTAGACTCTATTTAGCTTGACAGTTTTGACTTCTACTCCAGCTACCCTAAGCTATTTGAATTATCAAAGGAGCTGTTTCTCCTTGCTTCTAATACCTTGCTGAAGTTGCACCAAGTTCTGACCTATTGAGTATTATAATAATCCATTTATGGTTTTGCTTCCCTCCTAAGTTTTAAACAATCTAAAAACCATTGTGTTTGATCCATTTCATATCCACAGGGCCTGATGTAAATGCTGGGTGTATAGAATGTTCTTAATAAACATTGATCAATCTATGTAGCCTCAACTTAAATATTTTCCAAATAGTAGGCTCACTACTTTTCTTCAAATTGTTTTAACTCTAAAACTAATTTAATCAATCATGTTATAAAAATCTTTAAAAATTTCAGAGAAAGAACACTAACCATAACGTCCTTAATGTAATTTGGTTTTTGGTGAGCTCCTTTTTAACCTATGTGGATTTTTTTAAAGTTTATTTATTTTGAGAGAGAGAGAGAGAGAGAGAGAGAGAGCAAGTGGGGAAGGGGCAGAGAGAGAGGGAGAGAGAGAATCCCAAGCTGACCCAGCACTGTCAGCGTAGAGCCCAATGTGGGGCTCAATCCCACAAACTGTGAGATCATTACCTGAGGCAAAATCAGGAGTCAGATGCTTAACCGACTGAGCCACCCAGGCACCCTTAATCTATGTTTTACATAGATTGAGTAGTCCTTTCAGCTGAAAAAGTCATCATCATCATCATCATCATCATCATCATCATCATCAACAACCAACATTTAAATAGCATATACAATGAGCTAAATTTTATATACATTGACTCATTCAGATTTTGTGATGATACTGTGAGGTAGGTACTCTTGTTATTTCTATTTTACAGATGAAGAAACTAAGATAACTGATTTGTCCTAAATCATACAACTAAGTAAATGACAAAAACATGATTTGAATTTGTGAAGTCTGGCTGCAAAGTTCATGCTATATTTAATGGAGAAGATTAAGTTATTTGGTATATGGAAAGCACTTAGAACAATATCTGGCATAAGGTATAAATTTAATAAATGCTAGCTATAATTATCATTGCTATTATGATGAATATATTGAATATAATTTGGTATCTTTCACTTTGAATTGTCATAGTTTTTCACTAAATTAGGTAGATTTTTACTTTGAATTGGGTCATAAATATTTTTAATACTACCATGCAATCTTATTAGCTGTTGTGTTTTATGACTGAAATATTGTATAGAATGTCTCTGCAATAATTAGTTCTTGCTGTTGACCATATTTCTTTTAATCTTTCATATTATATATAACACTATGAGCATTATTTTTATGCATTAGCCTTTTTTCCCTTAATTTAGGCCATTTTTTAAGGATAGACTTCCAGAAGTAAGAATTATGCATTAAAAGGTTTAAACATTTTCATGGTTATTTATGCATATAAAGAATGGCTTTACAAAGGCATTACAATAACTATGTTTTAGGGAGTCTGTTCAATAATTCAGTATTTGCAATTGTTATAAAACACTTCTATTTGTACTAGCTTTACCCAAAGGATTTACACAAAATAAGCCCCATCCCTTTCAATATGACAGAGTTTCAAATATTTATATATTTTAAAAAAATATATTCCCTAAGTACCTACGCTTAGTTGACAGAACCTCTCGACTCTCCTTCAGATATATTTTTTTTTTTTTTTTGTATAGTAAATATCCCCAACTTTCCCTCAAGCATCTCTGGTCTGACAAAATTACCAGGCTCTTAACCATCTGAGTCATAGTCTCCTAAATACATTCCATTGTGCCTATGTCCCTCTTAATTTGGAGATTACAGACATGGTCTGACAGTGCAGAGCACAGAGGGGTGATCACTTTCCTTGACCAGGGCATCTATTTCCAGCAATGCAGCCTAAGGTCACATTAGCATTTTTTGGTACTGAAATACACAGTTGGCTCATGCTTACTTCCTATCAACAAATCCCCCATGTCTTTTTTACATGAATTCCTATTAAATCACATTGCCCACATCCTGTATTGATGTAGTTAAGTGAAGTTATTTACATAGGTTCTTACTAAACTTTAACTACTTTATTAAGTTTCTTGTTCCAGAATGTTGTGACACTTCTGATTGTCCAAATAGGTATATTAATTTCCTTGATGCATACCTTTATGCTTTCTGTATCTTCACAAAAGTCATAAATAAAGATATATGCTAAGACAACCCCAAGTACCGTCTTATGTACATAATTAACGTCCTTTGGTTTGCAGCGGTCAGCATCTTTGTATATGGCTTTTCAGCCAGCAGCAAATCAGCAGCTGTGAATCCACCCAAGTGTCTTAACACTCAACTACATTCATTCATCCTATTCCTGAAGATATCATAGGAGACCTTGTTAAATGGCTTCCTAGGACTAAAATAAATCATGATTATATTTTTTCATTAATTATTATTAAATTGCTTTTATAATTCTGTCTGAAAAAACAGTAAGTGATTTTAACCTGGGGTCTCATAACTATCCTTATTTTTTAAGTGCTTACAAATTAGTACATACTAATATTAAATCTTATAATAATCAAATATTTAATTTCCCTGTGAAATTCTTAGTTCTTCCTAGGAGAAAGTCACCTATGCTACCATGTGTGTTTTATAAACTAATATAGCAGCAGACTTAACCAACAAGTATTGTTTCAGCCCCCAAATAAAAAATATAATAAAGTGATATATAATACAATAAATAAAATATTCTGAGATCTCTCTTCTATGTATTTTATGATTTTTTAATTCACATCACCTGCAATTTGGGGAAGAAACTCAGCTTATTTTCAATAACATTGCATTACTAACATAGGGTAACTATAATTATGTCTATGAGAACTACTGTCATTGTCTTAGAACTAGTCATGAAATAACTAAAATAAATGTTTCTCTTTGTTCAAAAATGCTAACTGAGTTATTTAACTTCCAGGGTGCTTATTGGCTCTCCTTTACTTGGTCAACCCAAGAACAGAACTGGAGATGTCTATAAGTGTCCAGTTGGGAGAAGCAAACCATTACCTTGCATAAAGTTGGATCTGCCTGGTATGTAAAGACTTTACATTAAAGTCTGATCCTAAATTATACTCAGTAGTTGCATTAAAAATAATTTTAACTCAATAAAATATGAGAAGAATCTATAAACGTTCTTCAATTCTTATCATTAAAATTCACATAAAATGACATTTTGATTCCGAACTTTAGAAATAAAAGAACTTTCCGAAAACCTGGCCCATTACATTGCTTCCACAAAATTTAATTGTTTGTTTGTTTGTTTGTTTGTTTGTTTGTAAAGAAAATAGCAGGGGCATTTGGGTGGCTCAGTTGGTTAAGTGTTCGACTTTGGTTTAGGTCATGATCTCATGGCTCGTGAGTTTGAGCCCCGCGTTGGGCTCTGTGGTGACAGCTCAGAGCCTGGAGCCTGCTTCAGATTCTGTGTCTCCCTCTCTCTCTCTTCCTCTGTTTCTCTCTCTCTCTCTCTCTCAAAAATAAATAAACATTAAAAAAAAATTTTTTAATAAAATAGCAGAGAAGGAATTGTAGTACATGAATTCTTTTAAAGAGAATAGCACAAGGTAAATTCATGTAGAAATGGATATATTTGATAGAAATATCACTATAATTAGAACACAACTAGAAAATTCCTGCTAGAATTATCCAAGACTTACAATTCAGTGTTCTATACAGTATAAAATGTATTAAAATAACACATACTTTAACGGTTTGTTTCAAATATTCTATTTTTCAGTTCTCTTTTTTCAATTTCCTGTTTATTATGAACATTTTCCTTTACATTTATGAACATAGTTATAATAGCTGCTTTAATATCCTTGCCTGATAATTACAACATTTGGAATATCTCAACATCGCTTTCCATTTATTACCTTTCTCTTGAGATTGAGTCACATTTCCTTTTTTTTCTTATGTTTAGTAATTTTGGATTATGTCCTGGATTATACTTTTGAGTTATAAGTGTAGAGGTTCTAGATCTGTTATTTGCCTTTGAATAGTCTTAACTTTTTGTTTTAGCAGACAGTTTACTTGGCTGAACTCAATTTCTGAACTGCAGTGGGAAGCAGTTAAAATCTCCATTCAGTTCTTCTTATTGTAGCTGAGCTGTTTGAAGTTTACTCTGCATATATATATTTCAAGTGCTTCAGATATTTGGACAGAGCATACGTGTGTATGTTAGAACTCTCTTTTTGTGGCTCTACTTTCCAAGATATACCCCTTCACTTTACAGCTTCTGTCATTACCCTAATTTCTGTCCTTTGTTTATTCAAAACAGTAAGACTTTGACTACTATTTGAGGTTTAGCCATAGCTAGGACCTTCCCTTGGGGGAAAGCAAGCACATAAACAGGAAACTCAGCCAGTGCTAATCTCTTCTTACAAGTATAGACTTCCCTCCACTTTCTGTCTGCTTTTGGTTGCTTTCTAGTGCCTTTAGATGGTTGTTTCTTTTTTCTTTTTTCTTTTTTTCCTTTTCCTAGAGTTATTTGCAAAAGACTTGTTCTAATAGGAGCTACTCCTTCATTACCAAAAACTATAATGGAGTTTTAACATTAGCATGGAGATTTTAGCTGCATCGACAATAGTGGAGACATTTCTGCTGTGATCCCTAACATCCCAATGTCCCAGCTCATCCTGGATCAACTCTAGTATAAAAAACTCTAATCCAGATTATTCAAGACCAGTGTAGATAATGGTCCAGTTCCAGGTGCTTTCAAGGCAAACCAGACTAAACTCTGGGACAAAGACCAATGTACTCACATTAGGAAGACAGTGTGACCATTCAGGAATCTCTGCTTCCATTCCTCACTCTGCATCTATAATGGTCTTAAGGTAGGAAAAACTTTTGGGCATGAAGAGTGAGGTAAATCTTTCTTGAACCTGAGTTTTGCCACTTTCAAATATTTCAGCACTCTGCTAAGCAGGGTGTAGAAAATTTTGATTTTCCTGCCCAGTCTTTTTTTTTGTCTTTTTTCAATATGAATAAGTGGAACTTCCTGCCACTTTTGCCAGGTTGGCCTGCTTCAAGACCCAACATTCCCATCTGGAATGACAAATGGCATCCCTTCATTGTTTCTTTTACCCTAACTTCCTGACCACTACTCCTTCTTGCTCTAGTTTTCTTTGTAAACTTCATGATGTCCCCATGATGGTGAAATCGATGTTCAAAATATATATTGGTGGGGTTTTTTTTCTGCTCTACTACCCATTTTCCCTCTTCTTGTCAGAAGTGATGCTATATCCTTGGCCATCTATAACATACAGATATAGCATGCAAGGTAAGTGTTTAAGTTTCCTTTACATATCTACAATATTATGAGGTTAAGTATTCTATTTGTTTTAATTAGCAAAAATGTGTGAAAGGCTGTCCCACATTTTCTCATTGCCCCACTAGCTCTGCATTCTTTTACAGTTCAGCAGAAGTATTTGAGACAGTTATCCAGACAACATTTCTGGGACATAAGCCAGGTTTTCAGCCTTAGCTTGTTCATTATATTCCTTAATAATACTTTGAAGACTATTTAGTTGAATCCAAAGAAAAATGTGCTATGATATGAACAAAGCAAATAGAATGTCCTAACGAGAAGGCACTTAATTTTACTTTGTTTTCCACCCTCATAAAAGTTTGTTTCTATTTTTAGTTAATACATCAATTCCCAATGTCACGGAAGTAAAGGAGAACATGACGTTTGGATCAACTTTAGTCACCAACCCAAATGGAGGGTTTCTGGTAAGAAAGCAAGGAGTTAGTTAATGAGCCAAGAATGCCGTCATTGTAAGTCTTTATAAAATTTGTTATATAATTTTTAATCTTATGGTTTTAATTTTTTAAAAGGCATGTGGGCCCTTGTATGCCTATAGATGTGGACATTTACATTACACAACTGGAATCTGTTCTGATGTTAGCTCCACATTTCAAGTCGTGAACTCCATTGCTCCTGTACGAGGTACAGATTTTATGTGATGTTCTTACATGTTTGAAAAGTGTAAGCAGTGAATGAGACATATATATACACAGGAGCATACCAAAAAGCTTGAAGTATTTTCTCAGCTACCAGCATTACCAATTTAGGTAAATGTTTGCTTTGCCAATATATAACCAAACCCCACTGCTATTTTTGGACTTGATATTAGTGTAAATAACCTTTAACAAAGTCTTGTTTAAACATCATAGCTAAAGCTGTCACATTGTTTTTATTTAAAGAATGAGTCTCTTTGAAGAAAGTAATCTCACTTGAAATACACACAGAATGAGAACAGTTACATAAATTCATACTGAGAAAACTTCCAAAGATAATTCATACAATGTTAATTACAATTCAGTAGAGATGTTTTACTTGATAAGAATCCCAAACCCATTGCTATTGAATGTAATGGTATTTATCAACTTTATTTTTGTAAAATTACTTCTTTCTGATTACAGAAGCAATGTGTCCACCATGTAGACTACCAGCTTATCTTTTTTTAAAATGAGCCTATTTCAGCCATGAAAACACTTCATACACTTTCATACTATCTAAAAAGATAAACTCGAAATTTGCACAGTTGACTCCTTTTATTGCAGAATGCAGCACTCAACTGGACATAGTCATCGTGCTGGATGGCTCCAACAGTATTTATCCCTGGGAGAGTGTTACAGCTTTTTTAAATGACCTTCTTGAAAGAATGGATATTGGTCCTAAACAGACACAGGTATGTGGCTATGCATTTTGATTTCTGTTGTTCTAAAGATAAAAATGCATAGATATTTAATAAAACAAAATATTCTGAACATAAATTAATCAATAAAGCTAATATTCAGGATGAATTTTATATTCCATATCCCTGTTTTTTCCTCCTGATGAAAGGGACATTACTGGCAGACCCTGTTATTTTCTAAACAAAAAATATAATGAAAGCTGCCATTTCTGATGCTCTTGAAAAATATCCCCTATAAATCATAATTGAATTCTTACTTATAAAGTAAGTGTAGCCAGCTTCAGTAATATCAGAACAGGGTTTCAGAATTGGTGGAAACTAATCTGACATCCCAAAGAACACATCACATTAAATCCCCTCTCTTATATTATACAAGTAAATTAGTAAGTGATCACAGGATATCGCTTAAAGACCATTTCTTCTCATCTTTAATAATTTCTTAAGCAAAATCCAAGTGCTTGATGCTTTAGCTACATTAAGCTGGATATTTTTTTTCTCGCCATGAGTATCTGTTTCTGGACACATTCTCTTTATTGCCATTAAATGAAGTGAAGCTTCTCACATGGTTCTCCCACTTTAGACACTGAATTTGGGTTTAATTAATCTAATGCTGATTAAACTTATACAGCCATATGGCTTAAAATACAGAGAAGACAGTGGATAACAGGCAAATTAAATGTCAGAGTGAGGTCAGTGCCTTGAGAACAGGAATTAGCACTGGAGTCAGAGTCAAATGGTTGTTGCATGGTTTGGGGACTGCAGGAGAGCAAAGAAGATGTTAGATCTGCACCTGCAGACCAGTGCCTTTCCTTTTCTCTCTGAAGCTCTACTTTGGAGAAATTTCTGAGGCACTGAAAAAGTGGTCTGACTGCATTGTTTGCCACACCCACACCTGGTACAGGGCATGACTACACACACACACACACACACACACACACACACACACACACACACATACATATGATATGCTTGTATATGCTTCTGTATATATATATATGCCTATAAATGTATGTATAGATAGATAGATAGATAGATACATACATACACACACACACACACACACACACACACACACACACACATTTACAAAATGAATTTCCCCAAAAGGGTGTTAGTTAAAAATTGCAAAGTAGATGCAAACCTCAAAGTGAAATGTCATATGGCTGTGTTCCAAGGATGAATAGGTGAGAGCTAGGTGAGGAGTAAGGCTTTGTATATCCTTCTGGACAATAAAGAACATCTTGAAATCAGTATAAAATTATTTGAAAAATAGACTTTTATGCATCACAAAAGGTAAATTTTCCTGGATGCAAGTTTCTCATCTGCAATTAGTCTTCCCAAGTGAATTACCAGAAGTTTGGTATCTCTTCTTGATACAGGGCATAAGGCAGCCTGCATCCTTTCAAAGACCATTTGAGGGGTGCCTGAACGGCTCAGTTGGTTAGGCATCTGACTCTTGATCATGTCATGATCAGAGTCAAGCTCAGGTCATGATCTCATGGCTTTGTGGGTTTAAGCTCCCCATCAGGCTCTATGCGGCCCTGCAGAGCCTGCTTGGGATTCTCTTTATTGTCTCTCTGCCCCTCCCCAACTTGCACTGTCTCTGTCTCTCTCAAAATAAATAAATAAACTTAAAAAAAAAAAAAAGACCATTCTAGAAATGTGACTTGCTCTTCCATCTGGTACATGTTTCACGTGGACCCTTTTTTTGCCCCCTGCTAAGGATCTCTCCCTTCCTCTTTTGCCCTCTTCCCCAATCTTTTCTCTCCTTGGTAAATACAGTTTCATAGGGCTATAAAATTAAAGCTGGATGGAATTGTAGAGGACTTTTAGCCCCAAATCTCAATTTATGGAGGAGATAGGAGAGGCTAAGTAACTTGTTAAATAAAGTAAGTTGCTTGTTGATGACAGATCAGAAACCATAGCTTTCCAGCTGCAGTTCAGCTGTTTGGAGAAGTTTCAGGGCTGGTCCAGTCTGATGTCCCTAAATAGTAGGTTTCTGGTCCTTTTTATCTCATCATGGTTGCCCATAGCTTCCTTGGCCAGACCCCTTGGCACTCCGTCCTCTGCACTGACATACCTGTGACCAGATGCCTGTATCACAGCTCTGCCCTCTTTTACTGCCTTTCCCCATAACGTCCGATCTTCCCTTCCACCTGTTTTGTCCACCCCATTCTACTTCCTTATCCAAGCCTTTCTTTCCAAAGCTAAGAATAGTCTTGGAATATTTTCTAGTTATTTCTAATATTTTTCGTCATCTGGAAATTTTATTTTACTTTTAAATTAATTTATCTATTTCAATGTAAAAAAAAAAGTTTATTTATTTGTAGCTATCTGTGGACATTAGTGCAGCAGTGACATGTTTGGAGTTACTCTACAACTCCAGGAAGGAAATCTACAAGGCTATCTTACAAAAATAATCACCGCCTCAGTGGGGTTCTGTGCCCATGACTCAGTTTTATAAAGAACTCAGTTTTGTAAACAATCAATTGTTTATATGCTCAACCTGTTCTGCTATAGTTTTGATGTTTCTGTCTGCTAGAACTATAATTAATTTTCTATTTCTGTAGTGAAAGTCCTAATAGAGGAGCTATTCTGCCAGCCACCAGTGCAATTCTAGCCTGCCAGGGTTGTATACCTTTCTTGGTGGCGGGGGGAGAACAATCACTTTATTCAGAGGAATGGGGGCCAGCCCTTAGAGTTCAGATGCTACCAGACTATGGGAGGGAAACGAACATACTCTGAGGCAGAAGAGTCAGGTTACTTATTTCCAGGACCTGATTCCACAAAGGGCAAGATTTCAAAATGCAACCCTGTGCACTGAGTCATTTGTAGTATCCACTGACTTCACCCAGGGAAACCTGCTTCCTAAAGAGAGAGGAGCTGCTTAAATGGCTGAATTTTTATGTCACATTTTGCTTGTATCATTCATTGTGTAGTTTAGCCATACTCCTTCATTCATTTATTCAAGTATGTTTCCTGAGGGTTTACAATGTACTCGGCTCTGTGCTGGGGCTTGGATAATCATAGAGACAAGATAGACACAGCCACTGCCCTCATAGACCTTCTGTTGTAATGCAGTGTTTCTCCAAAAGAGGCTTATAGAACTTCTCTTCCCAAATCCCTGAGGTGCTTGGGCTGTACCCCAGATTTCAGAATCAGTCTCTCAGAGTGGGGCTATAGAGCCTGCATTTTAAGTAAGCAACCTACATGATTCATAAACACATTAAAGTTTGAGAAACACAGGACTAATGCATTATTATATATTGATGTGTGTGTGTGTTTCTGCTGCATCTCTAGATACAGACTTTATATCATCTTTTAATTCTTGTCATTGGCCAGACAGTGCTTTGCTGTGACAGAGTGGGTTCTTAATGAGACCCTGTTGAATAAGTGTGTATATCATAATTAATGCTTTTTAAAATTTTTTTCTGATAGGTGAGCATTTAATGAGACTTTTTTTTCTATAACTGGCATTTTAATATTCTATTAAATACTTTTATATTTGGGCTTTAGTGTTTACACTTTAGTATTTTCTAATCTTTTTCTGTTTTGACTTAAGTTGTGTTAATGACTAGTTTCATAAGTTATTCTCTAAGTGAAGGGGATTGAAAAGGACATATTTACTACTAAGCCATCACTTTTGCTGAAGTGGTGAAAAGGGTCTTAACACCTTTAAATTCCCTTTAAAGTTTGATCTTCCTTTAGTGGATTCAGAAAAGAAATTTGTTCATATAAATTTTGGAAAAGTATTTACTTTTGGAAAAATACTCTTCAAAGAAATGTGTACTGAAAAGCATGGTTATCATTCATGTGGTCTTATAGTAATTCTCTCCAAAAACACAATTTATTTTAACAACCATTTTCCTCCCTGACTGACTATAATATAATTTAAATAGGTTTTGTGTATGTGTGTGTGTGTGTGTGGGTGGGTGCTTGGGTGTGTGTGTGGGGGGGGGGGAGTGTATGTCTTTTGTTTTTGTTTGTTTTCAATTACAACACCCAATTCTGCCCTAAGATTGGCAGAATCTGCTTCTGGATTTTTTTCTCCCCATAACTTATCCTCCCTACCTCCATTCCTGAAAGGGAAAGATGTAAAAACAAACTGTGAGGGAGAATACCCAGAAGGAGCTGCCAAGATAGAAAGCTAAGAGATGGATGGAGGACTCTTCACCCATATCAAGGGTATAAAGGAATTCAGAATGGAGTTAAGAGGATTTATGAAGAAGATTTCTCTGCAAGCAGGGCCTAGTGAGAAAGGCTTCAGTGGGTTCACACAATGAGCTTGATGTGTTTTCTAAAGTTGGGACACACAGTTGACTAGTGCTTCACTCCTGCCTGAAATACCTAAAGGGCAAGATAGCAGCTGTCTAGCTGCTGACAGGCAATTCAGATGAGAGGTAGCTGCAGTCAGATTTCCCTGCAGTCCCAAGGTCTGTCATTACAAAGAATGTGTATATTCATGGATCATCACGGAGTCATGTTAGGTCCTGCCCTCAGACTCTTCTGGAGGTGAGCAGAGACTTCTGCACAAAAAAGCCGAAGATATCCCTGATGAGGGCAGTAGTGACATGTATTCACTCAGACAAGGAAGTAGGTGCAGAGAAATCTGCAGAGAACCCACAAGAAAGTTGTTAGCACCTGGTAGCACCTGATCCATCTCAGGATAGCACTGGTCAAGTAAAAATTCCTATACCCTTTATTTATCTCCGTTACCCCTGTCCCCGGAGAGGTCAGAGACTACAGTTAACAATCTAAGGGGAGATGAGTAAAGAAACAAAGAGAGAAACAGCCACCTATGCCGCTTTCTCAACTACATGCTTCTCATCTCCTGAAAGGCTTAGTGAGGGGAGAAGACGTACTATGAATCAACTTTGATATTTTGTCTCCTAGAGTGTGTTTTAATCTAGGTTGAACCATAGGAAATTGTTGCTATTTGATCATTTTTGACCTACAAATACAGCAATTTCATGTGGTATGACCTACATTAAAAT